GGAGACCCCCGCTCTAATGTAGCAATTCTCAACCTTGGCAAATTTAAAGCAGGTGGACTTCAACTCCCAGAATTCCCCAGTCATCATGCTTTAAAGTGAATGGACTTCAACTCCCAGAATCCCCCCCCCCCAGCCAGCATGATTTAAGATGGGTGGACTTTTAACTCCCAGAATCCTCTAGCCAGCATTCAGTCCTGGGGATTCTAGAAACCCAGAAGTCTTAAAATAGCCAGGTTTTGCAAAACACCTATTTATCAATTACCTGGGAAACATAATCCCCAGATGTGTTCGTTAATGGCAGACTAAAAGTAACCAAGCCTCTTTTGGAGGCCTTAAAAGTTTAAGAAGCAAAGTGGTTGCTTTTAAAAGCAACCACCTTTCTGGCTGGGGAATTCTGGGAGTTGAAATCCACACATCTTAACTTCGCTGGTTTGGAGAAATACAGCTTTAAACCGATGCTTTTGTTTCCGGCTGCGATAGTTTCACTTTTGCCTCCTGCTTAAAAGACGAGGACGTTATTCTGTTTGAATCAGTTTCGCTTTCTCATTCCAAGGTCAGAAAAGACGGAACAGTGTTCCAGTTATAAATAAAACAAACCCGATAAATGCAAAAGTTTTTCTCTCTTTTTTTTTTTAACTGAAGCCAAGGATGAGCTGTCGGCAACTCCCAAATCTTCTGGTATCTGTTATAATTTTCTCCTGCGAAGGATCTATTTTGGACAAATGCAATTGTTTAGAATTAGAATATTTCGAAAGGACTTGGGATTTTATAAATGGGAGCGTTTATTTATTTTATTCTTTTGGGGGGTGGGGGGGGAACTGACAGTTGGACAGATTTAAGGAGCCAAGGATGGTTATTAGCTCTGAGGGTGGAAATGAGCCTCCATTGGCAGAAGCAGTGTATCTGAGAAGCTGGGTGGAAGTGAATGGGAAAAATGATCACTTTCTTGTTTGAGTTTGAAGGCAGTGTTGGAAATAGAAAAGCTAGCAGGGGTCATATAGTTTTGATCTGATCCGCTGAAGTTTTTAAGAATATTAAGAAAAGGAAACAGTACAATATGCTAACCGTTCTTTGTTAAATCAGAATTCGTTGTTGTCTTGAAGATGAATTTAGCAAAGTACCCTGTTTCCCCGATAATACTGCCTACCCTGAAAGTAAGTCCTAGCTTGATTTTTACACATGTGCCCAATATAAGCCCTACCCCCCAAAATAAGCCCTAATTAAGACCCCACCCACTCCAGAGTCGCTGCCCACTTCCCTTTGGACAGGTGTAACCAGGCCTCGCACACTCCGACACCTGCTTTGCCGGCCCATTTCTTCTGCAGCCGGCAAGGCGCTCCTGAAGGCCTCTGGAGCTGAGAACAAAGCTCTGGATCGATCCTGAAGGTTGCAGGGGCCTTCAGGAAAGCCTTGCCGGCTGCAGAAGAAGGAAGTTCCTGAAGGCCTCGGACAGCGAAAAGGAGGCTGGGGGGGCGACATGCACAAGTGAGGTTAGTCAGTGGAGGACATCCCCCGAAAATAAGACCTGGTGCCTTTTTTTGGTGGCAAAAATAAATAAATTATAAGACAGGGTCTTATTTTCGGGGAAACATGGTACATGGACTACACAGGTTGAAGTCCACAAGTCTTAAAGTCCCACGGTTAGACGCCTCCACGTTCTTAGCACGCAGCAAAGAGCATCTTCGTGCAAAAGGAGGATGTGGACTTAACCATGGTTGGTCTAACCATGGTTGGTCTAACCATGGTTAGCTTCAATGTTTGCTCCAAGTCAGTGAACCAATATTGTGTCTCCTCTTGGACTCCAATGCAGGACAGGCCTCCCTTCTCGGTGCAATAGAAAGCAGGTGCCGACACCTAGGGAGCACGTGAGGAGAGCCACCGTTTCCCACCGGTTGAGCTGAGGAACCGAGGTAAGGCGTGACCCAAAGAACGCCCAGGCACCCAAAACCCTTTTTATTTATTTCATGCATTGATTAAATAATTAATATTCTGCCTTTATTATTTCTTTAACCAATAACTCAAGGCAACGGATATACAGTCTATCCAACACTCGGTTCTCTTCTTTTCACCACACCAACCCTGTGAGGTAGGTTGAGCTGGGAGAGGGAGGGATCGGCCCAAAGTCACCCAGTTGGCTTTTGGCTCTAAGGCGGGATTAGAACTCACCGTCTCCTGGTGATTGGCCCAAAGTCACCCAGGTGGCAGTTCTAATTCTGCCTTAGGCATGGAAGCCATTTGGGTGACTTTGGGCCAATCACCAGGAGACAGGGAGTTCTAGTCCCGCCTTAGGCATGGAAGCCAATTGGGTGACTTTGGGCCAATCACCAGGAGACAGGGAGTTCTAGTCCCGCCTTAGGCATGGAAGCCAATTGGGTGACTTTGGTCCAATCATCAGGAGACAGTGAGTTCTAGTCCCGCCTTAGGCATGGAAGCCATTTGGGTGACTTTGGGCCAATCACCAGGAGACTGGGAGTTCTAGTCTCGCTGTAGGCATGAGAGCCAATTGGGTGACTTTGGGCCAATCACCAGAAGACAGGGAGTTCTAGTCCCGCCTTAGGCATGGGAGCCATTTGGGTGACTTTGGGCCAATGACCAGGAGACAGGGAGTTCTAGTCCCACCTTAGGAATGAAAGTCAGTTGGGTGACTTTGGGCCAATCACCAGGAGATGATGAGTTCTAGTCCCGCCCTAGGAATGAAAATTTGCTGGCTGACTTCAGACCGTCTCTCTGCCCAGCCCACCTCACAGGGTCGTTGTTGTGGAGAAAATAAGAGGAAAAAAATATTAGATATGTTCACCTTGAATTACTTGTAATAAAGACGGGATATAAATCTTAATTCATCAATAAATACATTCTGACCGAATAATGTTGCTGGACCGCTAAATAATATTTTATTTAACTGATTAATTTATTTACCTTTTTTTTTTAAAAAAAAGTTAATTTATTTCACTTTTTTTCTTTTTTTAAAACATTTTCCTCCTTGACCCCTAGAAACTTTTCGAGGCAGTAGGTAGTAGGATCGCTTCATGATCCTCGGACCAGCCCTCTCCATAAAATTCGCCGAGCTGGGTGGAGACCTTAGAGAATGTTGCCTCTCGGTTCCAAAAGCTTGTAAGTCATTTTTTTCTCCTTGGTCAAAAAGCCTTTTTCTTTTTTCTTTTTTTCTTTTTTTCTTTCTTTAATTCACCGTTTTCCCCGGGTTTGAAAGCAACTTTTTGTTTGTTTTTTCTTCTTTCTTTTTCACCTCTGCAGAGCTGACCATGAGATGAAAGGTAAAAACAAAAATAATATATATTTTTTTTAATGTTTGTTTTGTCTTTCCTTTTCTCCCTTGTGTTCTCTTTCTCTCTCTCTCTCTCTCTCTCACACACACACACACACACACACACACTTTTGGCTTCATTTCCAACACTGCCTATTGCTGCTTGAAGTAATATAAGGTTGCCTGCGCTTGAGCACGGGGGGTTGGGCTAGAAGATCTCAAGAAGCCCCAACTCTATTCTCCTCTCTGTTCTCTGCCCCTCGGGCTTTGCAGCCAGTTGATTGGACGCTGGATCCAGGAAGGGGTGGGATGGGAATAACAGCGGAGCTATGGCCCTCCTCCCTTCTCCCCTCCCACGGGTTTCTGGGAAAATGTAGGGGGAGTCCTCGAATTACGACCGCAATCAAGCCCCGCGTTTCTGCCGCTAAGTGAGACCGTTGTGAAGCGAGTTTTGCCCCGTTTTGCGACCCATCAATTGAGACGCTCGGCGACTGACTCGTGTTTATGACAGTCATGGCGTCTCCTTTTGCGACCTGGCCAGCAAAGCCAGGGGGCAAAGCCTGATTAGCCGAACAACTGGGTTACTAATTTAAAGACCGCCGTTGGTTCGCTTAACAACCGGGCGTAAAATGGGGCAAAACTCACTGGACAAACGTCTGACTTAGCGACAGAAGCTTGGGGGGGGGCTCGATTGGGGTCGTAAGTTGAGGACCACCTGTGATACAGATCGATAAATAGGAATAACTGGGCTGCCTGCCTCTCTTTGAACTTCTCAGTGCTGTATCGTGCCTGGGAAGGACAGCTTTTCGTTCAGAATCGGCGAGTGTGTGACATCGTCCTTCGATCCCCCTTTCGGGCTTCGATCCCGGCTCAGTTGTAAGTATTTATTTCTCTCTCCCACTGGAATTAACGGCGGGGGGTGGGGGGGTGAGTTGGTGGGAAAAGGACGTTCAAGGTCCTTTTTAAAAAGTCCAGCTTGGCTCCAGACATCGTGGGTGCTCCATCACTGGGGGGGGGGGTTCTAAGAGGAGCCTGGCCGGTCACTTGTCTGAAATGGTAAGAGGTTCTCTGGCTTGAGCAGTGGGCTGGACTAGAAGACCTCCCAGGCCCCTTCCAGCTCCTCTTCTCTTCTCCATTCCCTTCCAATTCCTCTATTCTATTCTATTCTATTCTATTCTATTCTATTCTATTCTTATTCCTATATTCTAATCTATTCTTATTCCTATATTCTATTCTTATTCCTATATTCTATTCTATTCTATTCTATTCTATTCTATTCTATTCTATTCTA